TAAAGGGGAGGGGAGAGTAGAAGAGGAAAAATGGAGAGTTGTAGAGAAGGAGAAAGGGAGGAGAGAAGTGTGGAGGGGGAGGGCGGAGAAGACGGGAGGGGAGGGAGGCAACCCGAACGTCTCCCCGGGGTCCGACCTTCTCCCATTGGGATTACAACTCCACAGCCTGCCGGGCCTTTGCTGCCTCCTCCCTCCTGTGATCTGGGACCCCCCTACTCACCTGGCTGCACACTGCCCTGAGCTTTCTTCTCCATCCATCCCTCGTTTATCTGGCCTTGTCTTATGCTGGCTCAGACTCCCACAAATCACCGCTCCTTCCCCCACTCCCGCCCCTCCAGGGCCCACTTCTACCTTGCACCGAGTTCTGAAGGCTTTTCATGTACTTGACGCTCAGCTCCAGGATGTCCGCCTTCTCCAACTTGCGTTTCCGGATCTGTGGATCCGTGGAAAGGGCTCATAGCTGGGCAGCCCAGGTTGGAAGGGATGAGGCTGGAGACCATGTCACCCACCACCACCACCACGTCCCTGTGTCTCACCTGGTGTGAATAGTGTTTCTCTAGCAACGACTTGAGCTGCTCCAGCGACACATTGATGCGTGCCCGTCGCTTCTTCTCCATCAGCGGCTTGGAGATCTGTGAACGAGTGGCTGTTAGGACAGAGCCACAGCCCTCTCTCCCTTTGCCCCCACTGGCCTAGCAGGGCCCCCACCTCAAGCCCTTCAGAACCCCAGACCTTGCGGAATCTGCTGGCGGGGCCACCGGAGCTGCCCGGGGTCTCGGGCTCAGTGCCCATGTTGTCGTATCTGCGCCCACAGGAGGCGGCACAGCCTTTATAGGGGCCCCTCGTTTACATGTCAATGAGGCAATCCTGGACTCATGAAACCCCTAGTGGGAGGGGACAAGAGGGGGCCACACTGGGAAATTCCCTACTTCTCTCTGCCTGACCCCCTCCCATAGCCCAGACTTCATTCAGCCTTGCCTCCAAGACCCCCTCCCTCCCATGGGACCCCTCTTACCTCTTCTCAGTCTTTCCTTTATCCCTTTCACCCCTGCCACTCCCCAAGTCTGGGGTCCTCTCCCATGCCCATCCCCTCCTTGCCCTGTGCCCTCCCAGCGTCCGCGTCCCTCGGTTCTAGGTCTTGCCACAAGGCCTACTTGCCTGGTCCTTGCTGCTCTTGTCTCTGAGCGTCCTGGGGGTCACCCACTGGGAGGGGCCAAGGGCCCAGCCAGCTTTGGGCCCTGCTAATGACAGAGCACTGGGCCTGATGAAGATGCAGAGGCAGGGAGCATCCACTAGCGAGGCCGTTCTGCGGGCTTCACGCTCTGGCCTCGCTGGCAACGCTGCATTAGTAGCCCTAATGTTGGAACAATGCAGCGATTTTCTGCCTGTGGCCGCTCAAAGCCAGGCGCAGGCTGGGCCTGCGGGGGCCACACAGTGACATGTGTCCCATTAAAGCATGCAGCCCGCCCGCAGGACCACAGCCAGGCTTACACCTCAGGGCCTTGGGACTGGGCGCACCCCTGCACGAGAGTGCAGCCTTGGCTCAGGTGTCCTCTGGCCTGGTTAGGACCCAACTCACTCTTCCAGCTTGGTGGGGAGGGGCAAGTTGCAGCAGCCTCAGGCCAGGGAGAGTCAGAACCGGCTTCCCCACCTCCAGTTCTGGGTTTCCAGGCTGGACAATTCAGGCCCTGAGGACCCTTTCCCTCCCATGGAGGGCCTGGGGTTTCTTCCCACCGGCCTTCTCTGAGTCCCAACAAATGGGAGGCGGAGTGGGGAAGACCATCGAGCATCTGGGGAGAGTGCCATTTTGCACTTTAGGAGGTCGAGGACCCCAACTCCTTTTCATTATTCTGGCCTTAGCTGGAGACCCAAGGAGCTCACTGGAGGAAGGCCTGCCCGGGTTTGGCCGCCAGAGCGGGGACTCCAGTAGGTGTGACAGACAGGAAGGCTGAGGTCCAGGAGAGACCCTGCGTTCACATCTACACAACTCCCTTTCCTGGGCTCTCATAGCCTCAGTTTTAGGGTTGGTAAAATGGGATTTCGAGTAATGCGGACCCCCACAGCTGCTTAGGAGGTCGACGGGGAAGTTGCACGGACGCAGACGCTCTGCGGTTGAGCCCTGCGAAAAAAGAATGAACAAAACGCCCTTTGCAGGGCCTCTGCGTGAAGGCGAGAGGAAATTGCTAGGTTCTGGGTGGGACCCCAGCTCCCTGCAGCCGGGTCATCTCTCCCGCCCCCACCTCCGCCTGGGATATTGGAGACCCTGCGCTGGCAGCGGCGTTCCCAGGCTCCAAGCAGCGTGGAGAATCGCGCCCCGCCCTCCTTTCAGGCTGAGGCTGCGGCTCCAGCGGCTCCAGCGGCTCCAGCGGCTCCAGCGGCTCCAGGGTGCTTCTCTGCCCCGGCTGCGGGCCCGGAAAGCCAAATCCCGGCCAGGCCCGGGGCGCGCGACGGGGCCGAGGCCGGACGGCGGGCGCGCTGGCACGCGCCGGGCAGCTTTAAAGCGCCGAAGCCGGCCGGGCCAGAGCGGCCTCCGTGCACTCGCTCTGGCTCGGGGTGGTGGCGGCACGGTACAAAGATGCCGCGGGGAGGGCGGGAGGCGCGGCCCGGCACAAAGGGAGCAGTCGAGTGTTAAGGGCATTGTGCTGGCTACACAAAGCTGCGTCCGAGCCCGCCCCCTCGGGGCCAAACTCGGGGCGCCCCGCCGCGCGCAGGCTTCCAGCTGCTGCACATCTGCACCGAGGCCCGGCGCGCGCCCCGCTCTGGCGGTCCCCCGCACCCCCCGCGCCCGCTTTCGAGCCGCGTGAGCAGCGGGGCAATTTGTCCTCTAATTATGATCCATCCCCATAAACCGCCACCCGCGCCTTTCAACTCCGGTGCATTAGCAAACCAATGGCACCCGTGCTCTCGCCGCCCGCAGCGGGGGCGCAGGCCCGCCCCCTCTTTAGAGTTAGGGCCGCCATAAAGGGGCCAGCGGGCCACTCCCGCCCTCACTCGACAGCTGCAGCCCCTCGGGCCTCCACTCGTCTCGAGCCCGTGCCCAGGGATCCCGGCTGCGCTGGGTGGGGCCGCTCACGTGGGTGGCTTAATGTTTCTTAAGCAGTGGAAAATTGACCGCAAAATGCGCTAATTCGCAATGTTCTGCTTTGACTGTCGGAGGCGAGGCCCGCGGGGTCGGCTGGGGCGGGAATCGCAGCGGTCAAGCTCCGCCCCCGCCCACCACCGGCCTCCGCCTCCGCCGCCCTCCGCTCCCACCCCGGCACCGCCCTCTGCGCTCCTTCCCCGCTCCGCACGTCCTCTAGGCGGGGTCTCGCCACCTAGGCTGATTCCCTGCAACTTACTCTCCGAGCTTACCCAATCCTACGCGGCTCCCCCGGCTGAGGGTCGCGCAGACCTCACGGCTGCAAGGAGGCCCGTGCAAGTTCCGTACTCCCCTTTTCCTGTGCTTAAAGACAGCTTCCTCCACCCCATCCCCACTTTATCCAATTCGGGCTCCTCCTTCTGAGCAGCCACTTCTCCCACTAAGTTAAAGACAGATCTTTGCATCGGGCAGGGGCACTGGAAAAGATAGTAGATAAGTCTGCGCCGAGATCCCTCTCGGAAAACCAGGCTGGGGACCCACTTCGGTCCCTCCCCCAAGCTGTTGGCCCGTCCTGGGTCTGGGCATCCTACGCACACTCGGGCAGGGGCGGGGAGGCGTTTTCCGAGGTGGGACAGCTGCAGCGGCTTCGCCCCGCGTCCTCTGTGGCAACGAGCAGGACCGGGAAGGGCATGGACCGACTGAGAAGCCAGGCTTACGCAAGCTGGGATGTAGGCCACCGACTTCCTTTCCATATTTAGGATCTAGAGTCCCCAGGACGCCTGGAAAGGAGCACAGGTCCAGAGAGAGCGTTGGGAGACCCAGGTCGCTGTTGCTCATTCAAGGAACAAATCCCTTCTGTAACTCCGGAGGCCTGCGGCCCGCCAGGAGCACTCCCAACCCTCTGCTTGCTCACGCTGGGGGCTTTAAAGTGAGAAGTGACTAGTGCCTTTGTCCTCCCTTCCCCATTTGCCTTTCTTGACTTTGGCAAAAGAAAAGAACATTACAGAATCGGGTCAGGTCTGGAAACGAGGTGGGGAGGGGGTTTGCAGGCCCCCTGACAAGAGCCTTATTAGACGGTCCACCAGCCATGCTTGGTGACAGCCCTGTCCGCCCTGGGTGTGAACCCCTTCCTTCCTGCGGTCCCCAGGCATTTAAAGCAGCTAGTGAATGTGGCGAAGGCCACTGCGGGTGTGGGGACTGGTGGGAGAAATGCATTGTTTCTCTCTGCAGTTGCATTTCAAAGCAGAATGAAGGGATTGCTCCTGTAATTAACTATTGGGACACGGCGAAAGCTCTGGAGAGACTCAGCCGATTGTCACCAGATGGGGTTGGAGAGGCTGCAATTGTTTAACTCTCTTTAGCTATGTTGGGCCTCCGAATAGCCTGGCAGCTAAGGGTCCTCCAGAAACAAAAGCTGGGACTCCGGTGAGTGCATCAACACTGAACCGGGCTGGCCCAGCTCGGGGAGAGTGAATTCAGAGAGACCTCCATTGTCTCAGTCTTTTGTGTTTCTCCCCAGTTAGCTCTGATCTTTAAATATTTACCCGGCCGCTTTGTGCACTTATGACTTACGCACTTGGAGCTGAAGCGCTCATAAATTATGCGTCATTTACCCATTTCCTGCTTAGAGAGAGGAGGCTTTCATGCCTGGAGCCCAGGATGGCCAGGGAAGGGGAAAGAAAACCTTTGGAGGACCAGTATTCCCTCCAGGGAAGAGCTGCAGCCACACTGGACAGGCCCCTCCAGGCCTCTACGTGGGAACTGAACAGGCCCAGGCCTGTGAGTGACAAGGGGCCCAGGAGGCCACTCTAACAACAACTGACTGGTGACCCACCGGCAGGGAGGAGGGAGAGGCCAGCTCTTGGACCTTTTCCTTCCTACTTGGTGTCAAGCTTAGAGAGGAACAAACTTTTTTTTTTTTTTAAATACAGAACGCTTCATGAACCTGCGTGTCATCCTTGGGCAGGCGCCGTGCTAATCTCTGCAGCATCCCATGTTAGTATATGTGCTATTGAAGTGAGCACAAGGAGCAAACTTCATCCTGGGGACCTGGGCATCCTGGGGATGCCCGTCCTTGCACCTGCCTCCTGCTCGCTCTGCAGCAGCCCCCCTCCCCATGTTCTCTCTTGCTCAGTAAAGCGACCCGATTTAAGAAAAGGAAGCCTGATTTCATCTCAGCCTGCAGTTTAACTTGGAAAAATTGAGGTGGTTCTTAGGACTCTTGAAACAGGACAGAATCTGACTTCAGCCAGGATGGAAAGCCACCTCAACTGGTGGGTGGAAAGCAGGATGGGGGGCCGGGGGCAGGGGTGAGGTTGGGGGAAGGGGTTTGGGGGGAGCCTACAGAGGGATCTTCCTGCATGAGAAAGGGCTGCCTTTGTGCTTGCCTCGGCAGCTCCTAGAACAAAACACATTCAAATGCTTATTTACAAAAAAAGGCAGCGAGGCATCCCAGGGCTGAGCGGTTTTCTTTTATTTTCTTATGTTTTTATAGGCTTGTTTTTCCCCTGGACTGGGGCATGACAAACGGGGTCCACACTGGAGAGCTGGGTGCAGAGTGGATTTGTCTGATCAGATTGCTTTCCTCTCTAGTGGGAAAGCAGGTCTGTGTGTTTCTGTCTGTATCTCTGTGTGAATTGCTGTTTCTCTGTATGCCTGAGTGTATCTGTGTTACTGTTTCTCTGGGTCTATGCCAGTGTGTGCGTATTTGTTTACTTGCATTTCTCCCTGGGCCCTGATAGATTCGGCAACTCTAATGACTTCTAAAAATCCCCCCTCCCTCTGGTCTGGCCCTTTCTGGGAGAGGACTGTCTCCCCTTTCTCCAAGATGTGGCTGGTAGGGTCTAAGGGGAAGTGATGGGCAGAGGACAGAGGATTGCTCAGGCTCTCCAGTCTGGATTACATTACTTTGTCCCCAGAACAGGGATGGTCGCGGGGGGAGGGTGAGGAATCAGGGCCAAAAGTCAGTGTGTAGAGCAGAAGCCAATAGCCAGAGACTGAGCTTCCTAGGAGCAGCTCTCTGCCTGAGGACCAGACTCATTCCCAGGAGTGAGTATGCAATGAGTGCCCTCTAGTGGCCCTGAGGCATCCTGGTGCAGAGGGAGAATTCCTGAGTTGGGAAGACTGAGAAACTGGGCAAAGGCAGGAGCTTGGCATCATAGCCAGGCCTCCTTCCTACACAGTATTGAGACTGAGTAACTTTGGGTTTTAAAGCATTAAATCTTTCAATTACCATCAACTGAGTTTAGCAAATGTCTTCTGAGCACCATTTAAACGTGACACTGGGCTTTAAAAAATGTTGTCAATATCTGACAGTGAAATCAGGATCACCATTTTACAGAAACTGAGGCTCATAGAGTTGATTTGCCCAAGGTCACAAAGCAGGACTGCAGCAGTGATTCTAGCCGAGATTCTAGCCCAGGCTCTCCATCCCTCCCTGAGCCCGGCTGCCCAAATGCCAGGCCTCCTCCTGTCAGATCTTGAGGGGACAGAGGAGAGTGGGGCAGCCAGGGGCTCAGCCTGCCTGGCCTCAGTGCTGTCTGACTCAGGACACTGGGTTCCAGCCTCCCCTGGGGCCTGTCCCCTATCTCGCCTCAGATTTGTTTCCTCCTGTTTCTGTGACTGCAAACTCGGTGCCCGCTCTCCCTCCCTCCCTCCCCTTAAATGCCTTTGCTCTCATTTCCAGCGGCAGGCGGGCTGCACGTCCCTGAGGGCCCCAAGACCTGGCCGCAGCATCTCTTCCATGTAGACTTTTAACCCTCTGGCCCACCCACCCATGGTCCCTCGTGGATGTCCCTCTCTCTCCACGCTTACGTGGCTCCTGCCTCACTCCCACCCCACCATAGTTTTTTCTAGTCATTTGCCGACTTGCCTTTCTCCTCCACCATGGCTCTGTAGCTAGCTCCCCAGGTGGGGGCATTAACCCTTTAAAAAAAGCAAAGGGCAGTTCTTGATTATAAAAGCAATATATGTTGATGGTAGGCAATATGGAAAATAGAAAAACATAAAAAAGAAAATAAAAGTCACTCGGAGTTTTACTACCTGAAGGTAACCGTTGTTAAATAATTTTGGCTTCTATTTCAGTCAAACTCGCACGCAATTTTGTTTTTCCCAAGTGAAGTCGGGGTCATACTGTAAAGTTTTGAATTCTGCCTTTTAAGAAACGAAACACATCCTGAGTTGTTTCACCATCCGCCAATATTTTTCCTCAACCGGAATTGAAGTGGGCGGTCATTCTGCTGCGTGGACGCCCAGGGCTGGGTTTTAGGGTGCCCCAAGGGCAGTGTACCCAGGCCGGCGCAGCGTGGACTCTCAGCGGGCGCTCGGGGACCCTGCCGAAGGCGGGCGGGGGAGGGTCACCGCGCTGGGTCCCTGCGTGCGGAACCCCTAAGGGGTGGGGGATGGGACCGGCCCCGCTCGCGGATGCTCGCGGAAGGTGTCAGTTTGGGAGAGGACCGCGCGGGGCCCGCCCAGGGTGGGGTCTCTTCATATTTCGCACGATTCCTCGGTCAGGGACGTCCCGGAGTTGGGGCCGACGCCTGGCACACGCCGGTGGCACCTCCTGGCGGCCCGGGCCCCGGGCGCCCGCAGC